CAGTTTCCTTTTGTACAGCTATCCTATAGCTGCTGGCTTAAGATATTTTATCCATTTTTACCAAGGTTGTACCTTGTGGTAAGGGAATTCCTACTTTTGTTGACCCCAAAAGCCACCCAAAAGCATGAACTTTCTTTTCCGATTGATTTAGCCATCACATAATTCACAGAAGTTTCTTTTAATTCAATGCTGCCATGATTCTTCAGAGGTATTTGTGCCCTTCGAAGCATTGTATATATTTATACAAGATCGTGCTTCGGCTTTCTACTGTTTCACAAGAAACAAAATTTCCCAGTTATATATCAAAACTATTGCGTGAGATGAAATCGGATTACTCGGACGTAATCGACTTGACTGGCTTTCCATCTTTGTACTGCCCAGAGAGTGTTATTCTTCATAAACTATTTAAGAGATATGGACATGAACTTCGTATCGCGGGGGGTGCCGTGCGAGACGTATTGCTGGGGTTTGCACCAAAAGACATTGACTACGCGACAGATGCCACACCGGACCAGATGATTGATATTTTCACGAAAGAAAACATTCGCGTTCTTAATCGAAATGGTGAAGCCCACGGGACTGTTACTGCGCGCATCAATGACAAGGTAAACTAATGTATTTCAATACGATTACAGTACATACTTGTTAATAAATTTTACGAAAAAATTATATGATCTCTTAATCTTTGAGTCTCTCTGGTGAAGCAAACGAACAAAAAATTGCATACAGTGAATAAGCAAAAAGGTTGTTACTACGTTACCCGAAACTGACTGCCTTTGTGTTCGCATTTCCCTTTCAATGTGTGATGAGCTCGAATGCTTAAACAATGAACGAGAAAGGAAACGTAGAGCCGGAAACGGGGCTTGAGTCTCCTAACAATGTAGGTACGTCGGCTACAATAAAAGGACAAAAACTACATTATAGGTGATACCGTGGTGTATATATATAGCACAATCTGAAGATAAACAGTTTAATTCCTTTAATTACATCAGAGATACAACCCTTATTCAGAACAGGGACGCAGCAGGAAAAGATTGCCAAACAACAAGTAGAAAATCAGGAGACAGTGGTAATGTTTGAGCTTACGAACTACGAAACCATGGGAGATACATGTACCATTTAACCGCTGATACTTATGCTATTTAGACCATTTGACAACTTTCAGTCATGGATAGAAAGGTCCACTCTTTAACGGTCGTATCAGGTATCATCAGGAGATGGGTGATTTTGAGTTGGGCGGTAGCGACGCTATCTGCTGACAAATTAAATGATGACAGTAAACCTGAAACGTAGAACACTAGAGAAGTACACCGATGCACACTAACTAAACCAAGTTTGTATATTGGGATTGCACTTTCTCCTGTAATTTCAATGTTGAATTTTTAACTTACGTTTCCGTATCCGCGTTGACTCAGATCTTCATAAAAGCCAGGTTTAGGTCGCTTAATTTTGTTGGTGAAACTTTAGATGTTTTAAAAGTTTATTATGCATGGGATAATGTCATCGTATGAGAAAAATTGCGTTCCCTGGAGTAAAGTTTGAAGTTTTCCGCAAACATAATAGAAAATGCGCCATGTCACTTAGGGTTTGCTATTTCGAATCTCCCAGTTATAATAAATATTCGTAATGCATTGCAGACTTTTTGGGTTTGGAAACATTGGGAATAAGGTGTAGCTCTTCACAGCTGTTTTGTGTTGCCCCTCATACGGATTTCTTGAGTAGATTGTTGTCTACTGATTGCCACTACATCGTTTTTTGTTTTATCTCACGCTGCGGACCGATCAGACCAACTTTGAAATAACCACTCTGAGAATCGATACGGAACCAGACGGACGACATGCAAAGGTTGTTTTCACCGATGACTGGCGCCTGGACGCTGCTAGACGGGATCTAACCGTGAATTCCATGTTTCTTGGTGTAGATGTGAATCATTTTCTCGAAGACGGCTATTTACCTCGTGGTTTCGTTGGTGATAAATCGGGGGTACGCAGCTAATGCAGTCGAATTGATCATATTAACTTCAGGTCACTGGTCGGCTTTTTGACTTTTTCGGTGGTCGAGAAGACTTAGAAAAACGCCGGATAAGATTCGTTGGTGATCCGGTTGATCGAATCCGAGAAGATTATCTTCGAATTTTACGGTATTTTCGATTTCACGGTCGTCTTTCAAAACCTGAGGACGATGACGCACATGATGCCGATGTACTCAAGGTGAGCACTGCACTGATTAAGTACGGTCTTTTATCCCTTCAATGGCCGAATTTCACAACGACTTTGAATCCAAATTAGCCTTCATTGTACGTTTGACTTTGTAACAAGAAACCCTTGTTATTGTGGATGTTCGTTGTTCGGTCACTGATGTTTTTATAGCATTGTGTTATTGTACCATTGCATTCATAAATGAACAACATTGGGACTTGACACTGATTATTGAATGAACTGACGTCTTGCTATGTGCAATCACCGAAAAGCCCCTGGGCTTCCTTTTTGGTACCCGTTTTTTCACTGAGGTGATCGGCAGAATACTAGTTTGATCCGTTCGCATAGACAACCCCTTCGTTAATATATGTATATTGCGCGTTGTGCTAGGTTGCTTCTCGTAGTTAGGCGGTGTCGTGTCCAACGGAGGTAGTACTGCAGTGGTGGTAATACAACAACGGAATAGTCGCACCCACTTTTATAAGGGTCGAGCAAGACTAGAGTACCTGTGGCGACGACGTAGTGTTTCACCGAAGTTGAAATTTGCTTATGCTACCCCACGGTTGAAGTCATTTCTACTTTACGGCTGTGGTGGTGGTGGCGTAGTGGTTTAGTCGATGTCACCGGCGTGCTTTGGACCCTATGGTCCGAGGTTCGAGCCCCGCCACCGCCACCCGACTTTGGTGGTAGGCAGCTCTGCTGTCGCCCGGTTCAATACCACGCCTAACCTATCGGGGCCTTATGTGGTTCGCCACTCCAAGTTCCGGGGCTTAGGTTGCCGATTTCAACCACTGAACAGCAGGTCCTCGAGACTATGGGATTTACCCCGTCTGCTGTTCATCATACCTAGGTGTGTAATAAAAAAAGAGACCTTTAATTTGCCAGTAGAAGACATTTATGGCATGGGGATTTTCGACAATGGATGCTTACATAGTCGGACCCAAGTTAGATAGAGTAAGCCGGTTATTAACCTAGATATAAGCCGCCGTTCATGTGGTAATGTATCCAGGAGGAATACGCCGTCACATCCAGTTCAGCTCAGTAGGCTTCACTGGTTAGGACAAGTTTTTTGCGAGTGTCTTGCGGTCCCCTACCGCACCGTGCCTTAGTTGCATTTACCGCCCGTGAACTAGAGATATGCAGTCAAAGTATCCTGTGTGAGTTGCGCCCAGGGGCAATCAGTAACGGTCAGGTAGCTAGCGATGTCCAGAGCATCACCTGGAGTAAAGGTATGAAGTGGTTGTCCTTAGCGTTGAATTTAGTTGGTACAACCCACCTTTTGAATCCCCGTACCTCATAAAAGAAAAAGAAAACATCAAAATGTGTACGGTGAGACCAACAAGAGAATTTTTTTATTACACACTTAAGTGTGATGAACTGCAGACGGGGCGAACCCCATAATCATGAGGATCTGCTGTTCAGTGGTGGAAACCGGCAGCCTAAGCCCCGGGACTTGGAGTGGCGAACCACATAAGGCCCCGATACATTAGGTGTGGTATTGAACCGGACGAGTTTCTTTCTGTTCTCCATTGTCTGCTTTTCTTCATTCCCCTTTCACTTATCTGTATTTAAACCCAAAATTTATATGGGTATTTTTGTTGGGTTGGCACCAGGCTTGTTTTCAGACCGATGTGAAATATACGTACAATCAGAGAGGGCCTGGTGGGTCGTCCAACGAAAGGCATAGTTAACCCTAAGGTATACATAGTATACATAATATAGTATAGTATAGTATAGTATATAGTATGGTATAGTATAGTAAAGTATATATAGTATATACTCATTAGGTCTTGGCAACCATTTTTCAGGAAGCTGATCGATAATTGATAACATATTGTACTTTTGTCTTGTTATATTCACTCCCAGTGGTTGATATTTGCACTTGATTTATCAATTTCAGTCTCCTATGACTAAACTGTCGGTTTGACACAAAGTCGAGTTTAGTTCATCTGTGAAGCGAACTAGGATATATTTGATCAGATTTGAACAAAATTGCAAGGAGAATTTTCAGTTTTCTGTAAGATGGATGTCATTCACTTGTGTTCTTGCTCTACCAATATTCCTAATTTATGCATGGTCGGGGCCTCCTTCCTAAAAATTAGCTGTCCTTTTGGATACTCGATAAACTACAAGGAAGTAAAAGCATGAAAAAGTCCCACAGTCGGGAATACAACCCTCAGTCACCAGGTACGATGTGATTGGAGAAAATAATGACAGTTAGGTTCTTACTACTTGAAAGTAGAAACTCTCGTCATGCGAAAAATGATTGAAACCCGTTCGAATAGCCCTGGACTCCGTGTCATTGGTGTCACATGGTGGTTATTATTTTAGATAATACCAATGTATGAGTGATAACCTGTAATCTTAATGATAATAGTGCAGCAGAATACAGTGAAGTGAATTTCACTGATCGCTGCTCAACTCGCAATACACTTATGCATTAGTTTGATGGAGGGGTACTGTTAGGGTGTCCAGCCACTAAGCAAGAAAACGATTTTGATTCTTGTCCAAAGCCTTTAGTTATGACAAAAAACTGATCGGTAGGCAGCGGGTAAAGCGAAGTGGAGGCCTATTTACTTAGATTGATTTNTATATTGGCTTCATAACAGCCATCCTGTGCAACTCATTAAGTCATAAATATGCAAAGCTATCAAAACACGTCAAGGTGATGTCTCTTCTTGATCGAGTATAAAATAGCACTAAAAAGTGCTGTTATCAGTGAAGCGTAACATCTAATTTGAACAGTGTACCTTTATTCAACTATCGGCTGGAAGGTGCTTTGGCTCTAAGAATATCTCATTGACAGCTTCCTACTTAATAGCTTTAAGTGCCAGAGCGATATTCATTTCCAATTCATTCGATCTTAATGACACTGATCGCCTGAGCGACAGCGCCATCATGTGTGGGATGTTGCTTGAGGAATATATCTTGAAAGATAGCTTTCTGGTTTACTCAAAACCGTAGACGCCTAAGTTAGAGGCAAGACTGCGTCCTTCTTTTGTGCCAACCGTGTTGTCTGTTCATGCTCATGAAGTTTGGGATGTTGCATAAACACCATAAACACCACCTTCAATTGACGACTACCTTCGGTACTCTGTATACGATCAAATGTACGCCGATAGCAAGTGCTGATTCGAACCAATCGAAGATGCGCCTAAGCAAACCAACATTTTTCACCGCTGCGGACGAAACCTGAGCTTAATTATTCGAACACCCTAATTCTTCTTGGACAATGATGCCTAGGTGTTTCTCACTTGAGGCATGGGGAATTCGGGAATCTACCCTTGGGGCATGGGGATCGCACTTAGCACTTCTAAACATTGAATCCTTTCCCGGTCTCCATAACCCACATTGATAAGCTGCGGTAAATGTTTATTGAAGTGTTAGCGAGCCCCCGGGTTGTGTTACTGTGTTCCAAATTTAGACATCATCTGTAAACAGCATTGTTTTTTATCCCCAAGACATTGGGCCATTTATGAATGCAAGAAAAATTCGGGGACTCAGTGCGAACCCTTGTGTATCTCCGCAGGTAACGTTAATGGAATCTGACAAGGATTCAGAAACACGAACCGATATGGTGCGCTGTTTGAGAAATGCTTCAGTCAATCAAACAGGAGACCTTGAGCGTGGTAATTGTAAAGCCTGTGCAAAAGTATTTGGCGCTTCACCTGATCGAATGCTTCCGAGGAATCCAGACAAATCAAATGCACCACATTCCATTCGTAGAGTATTCTTGTCCATTCATCTCGAACACGAAGCAAGTTGGTTGAATAGTATCGCTTTAGCAGGAACTCATGTTGAGTGAGTCAAGTGATCTTCTATCAGGAAATCTGCCACCGTCAACTCCACGACTTTTATAAAACTGGAAGGAGGGTTACAGGTCCTTATTTAGCGGGGTCACTAAGACAGCCGAATTTGTAAATAGGTGAAATAACGATTTATTTTCACAATTTTAGGAGCACTGTATTCTTGAGCGTCCGTTGGAATAAAATCCTCAGTGCTTCAGATATGTAATTCGCCGGTCAGATAAGGGTTTTTGCATTTATATTATCGGTACCTGTGGATGCACTGAGTGATATGGCTGAATGTCGTAAACAATGGCGTTAGTGCATGTGGTCAGTTTCTTTACAACCTTAATCCACTGACCAGCCAGGGGTTAGAAACGCTTCTCACTGCTAGTGATTCGTTGTACAGTGGTTTCTCAGTATTCACCAAGGTGGATCCGTCAGTTATATCCGCTTCCTCGTACAACTTCGCATAGGTGGCGTTCAGATGTTAGATTTCTGTGCGCCATCTCAAGCTACCTCACATATAAGAACAACTGATAATTTTTAACCATAAATCTCTGAGGGAGTGTGATGCTAGGCAAATATAGCCATTGAGATTTTGGTGCTTTTCATTATCGAGAGCACACTTATCACGCATAAGTTTATAAATGGACGAGATATCCGTTGTCTTTTATTCTGTACAATGTCACGGAAACGAGCCTTACTATTGATAAATTTTGTGGTTGTTGTTCCACTTTAGTGCTGGTTGTACTAATCCTAGTTCCCCGTACTTTCATCGATCAAACAGTTTCGAAAGTTAATTATCACCACTTCCAAGAATTGCGAGAGATGACTAGAATTGTCTGCGTTGTGCTCAAAACTGAACAACAGCGACTGTGACTAGTGGAGATCTTGTAAGCTTCTGCCAATCGGTCGCCTTGACAGAACAAGTGGAACGTAACTGCACCACCCAAGGAAACTGATCAAATTCACGCAGATATACATACATGTCGATTTTCTTCAGCCATTAGACTCTCTTCATCACAATTAGAGTATTTTGCACCGGTTGGCATATTCACATTAAAAGTAGAAATATTTGGTGAAGTTCCATGAAGAAAGAAACATCAGTGAACCGATGTTGGACGCTGATAGAAAGATGAAGTCCTTTCATTGGAATATTTTTAGACTGTTTTGCAAAAGGATGTCCCTATCACGGCCAAGAATTACAATTTCCATGTAATCGAAAAGCTCGACCGTCAAAGTCACTGAAGAACTTAGTTCAATCCTTCACCTGATTCGTGAATATTCAAACAGGTCAAGGAGCAGTTGAGCTTCAGTGCATTTTAAGCTAGATAAACTGAAACAAATTGTGATTGGAGTAAAACTCAAATACTGCTCGGGATAAGTCAGTACGTTAGCACTGAAGATGTCACCTTCTCAAACAAAACACGAAGCTCGGTAGGCAGGTGAAAACAAATTCCGTACACTCGAGCTTCGAGAAACTTTTCAATACTTTATAAGCCGAGTGCATTTGCTATTCAAAGTAGATTCAGGGCGTTTTATGGGATTCATACAGTTAATTTACACTATTTCGATTCCTTTGGAGGCGATCGCGGAAAACTGTCAAGGACTAGGGCGAATCGCGGGGGAACGTTGTTGGATGGAACTAAAGCAAATTTTGCTGTATCGATCCACGCCGGCCCTTTTTCGTCGTATGCGTGAGGTCGGTTTGTTTCCCTACCTGGGTCTGCCGGAAAACGCAAAATTGTCGGAGATGGATAACATCTGGCACCGAGATATTCTGTCACGAGACCCGAATCCGGCCACCTGTTTGGCATCCCTGTTGTCCACGTTGGACGAGGTGAGTGGTCTGTGTAGTAATTGTGCTCAGTTTTTTCACCGTGAATTCAGTAGTCACCATCTATGGATCGTTTTTGGTCACTCTGCCTAATTTCGTGTTCATTTCTGTTGTGCCTGCGCGATTGATCTACTTAAAAACACAAGCAATCGTTTCTGCATATTAATAACAGTTTTCAGTATTACCATTTCAATCGAATTTTTTAGCCTCGTGGCCTGAAACTCTCTGGCTGTGATTGGATTTATTCATCGTAGATCCATGAATTTATTTGAAAATTTAGCAAATTGATTCATATACAACTGATTACTGTTGATCGTTGATTAGATTACCACGATCACTCTTCTAACCCTTGCCACATGAAAACGCGCAAATCATTTACTAGATTTGTCTTATTGATCCTTCGAGTCGCGGAGATTAGATTAGATTAGATTAGATTACAACTATATGTTCCAAATCAGAGGTTAGCCAGTTTTCGACCTTACAACCAGTTTCAGTCTAATTTGTGCTTAGTTTGAATCGATATAAAATGTTTAACGTTCATAAATACGAATTCCACAACTGATATCTTCCTTTGTTAACTATTACGTATTGCGCGCTCACGCTGTGCACTCCGCAACCGTTATCACTTAGTTTATTTTTCCATTTCTGGGTCAGTGTTTGATGATTGTCAGTATTCCTTTGTTCTGGTAACTAATACCTGGCGTACCTCATGGTTTATCCAAGTTGGTTTGCTCTTTGACTACTTTTCGAGGGGTTATACTTACAATCAGAGTCTTTTCTGCCGTCCTCTTGTGTTTGCATGTTCAATACTAAATCCTAAGCGGTTATATGAATACACACCAGTCTTACAAAAAATAACAGTTCAGCGCAAGTACCGGTATAGGCATCTTAGTGCACCATCACATGAGCTGTGGAAATTGTGCTGGAGCGGTTTCACTCATCACTGTCTTATGGTCAAGGGTGTTTTTACCACAGTTAGGGGTCAGAAACCCGAATTCGGGACTATAGTTAGGTTGATTAATCACGGGCAGCTGGCTCATCTAAAGAAGCTGGGAGATCTTGTTTCTATACTTCCAAAAAGAGGTGCAAGAGCTGACTTAAGATAT